TTTGCTGAATAATTTATGATCTGTTTTTTTGTGCTACTAATTATGTTGCCTAATAAATGTTTATATAGCTGGAAAAAAAAAGGATGTGAAAGCCTCTACAACATAAACAACCAGCACTCTGAAAAGGAAGGGGCCGGGGAGATGGCTCAGTGGAAGAAGTGCTTCCCTGGCAAGCGCAAGGGCCTGAGCTCAATCCCCGGTTCCACAAAAAAAAAAAGGAAATTGAAGAGGACACCACAAAATGGAAGTCCCCTGCTTGTTAATAGCCAAAACCAATACTGTTTTGTCAGAATGACCACAATTCCAAGCCTGATAGCGCGGTTAGTGCAATCTCAGTCAACATTCTAACAATCTTCTTTTCATAGCACATTTAATCATATACTTTTCTTTTGTGTATTTAGTGCAGGGTCTAAGGGTCTCACTGTATAGATTGGACTCATAATGATCCTCCTGTTTTCAGCCTCCCAAGTGCTGGGATTACAGGCGCGCACCACCATGCCCAATCTCAATGGCCATCTCAGTGCACCCCGGGGGGTGGGGATGGCACAGCACGCGAGGGTCCAAATCCTGGCCACTGCACTCTGTCTAAGCAGGTGCTTTAGTCCACTGAGCTATCAAGCCAGCCCTCCTAGCACATTTAATGCAATCCCAATCATAATTCCAACAGGATTTCCATTCTTCATAGAACTAGAGAAAACAAATCCTAAAATTCATATGGAACCAGGAGAGACCCATCAGGGCAGAAGAAATCCTGGGGGGAGAAAAAGAGCAAAGTGGGAGGCACGTGGACTTGAAGTTATTTACAAAGCTACTGTGGTTTAAGAAAGAAAGAAGAAAGAAAGAAAGAAAGAAAGAAAGAAAGAAAGAAAGAAAGAAAGAAAGAAAGAAAGAAAGAGAGAGAGAAAGCAAGCAAGCGAGCAACATGGGCTGGCAACATAGCCAAGTGTTCTAAAGCGCCTGCTTAGTCAATCTTAGGCAAGCCCAGGGACCACAGTTTGATCCCCAGCACCACATGCTGCAGCAACCCTGCCCCCAGGGTGGGCTGAGCCGGCCGCAAAATTAATTATTTAATTAAACAACACCATGGTGCTGGCGTCAAAACTGACAGGAAGATCAATGGAACAGAACAAAGAATGCAGAAACAACCCCAAGCATGCTCAGGTTTTCATCTCTGAAAAATGACCAAAAACACACCCTCTTTATAGACGGTGTTGCGAAGTGGCTGTCCACACACAGCAGACGGAGTCCGGACCCACAGCTCCCACTAGGTACTGAACCAAAATCGAAAAGGACCAAACAACTGTGTGTTAGTACCAAGACACGGAATCTGCTGGAAGACAAAGGATGCAAAACTCTAGAGGTCACAGGCTTGGACAAGGACGTTCTGAGTAGAGCTCCAGTGGCACAGGAAATAGCTCCGAGAACCGTAAGGGGGGTCATACAAAGTAAGAAGCTTCTGAGTAGCAAAAGAAACCATGGAGTAAAAAGGCAACCTTCAGATAAGAAAAAAATTGGCAGTCATTCCTCTGACAGGGACGATATCAAGAATACATAAAGAAATAAAAAAAAAAAAATAGAACCCCCTCCCAAATAAAAGATCCATTGGAAAAAAATTGCAGGTGAAATGAATAGACACTTTACAGAAGGGGTGTGAATGAGTAATAAATACATAAAGAAACGCTCTCGGAGCCAAGGAGATGGCTCAGTGGAATAAGCTCTTCCCTGGCAAGCGCAAGGGCCTGAGTTCAATCCCCAGTTCTGCAAAAAAAAGAAAGAAAGAAACGCTCTCCATCACTGGTCATTAGAGAAGTGCAAATTAAAACAACATCAAAATATCATCTCACCCCAGAAGAATGACCAACGTCAAGAAATCAAATAGTAAGGCCAGCCAGATAGCTCAGCGGATTAAAGCGCCTGCTTAAGCAGACTCAGATCAAATCCTGGCCTGCTATGCAGGCCCCGCCCCTGGGGCGCGCTGAGACAGCAACTGAGACTGCGAGTGGTGGCGTTGCCTGTAATCCCAGTGCTTCAGAGGCTGAAAACAGGAGGATCACTATGAGTGCAATTTGTGTAGTGAGACCCTGTAGATCCTGTACTAAATACATTTAAAAAAAAAAATCAAACAATAACAAATGCTGTCTGTTGAGGCTGCAGATGAAAAGGAACCCCTCTGCACTGTTGGTAGGAATGTAAACTAGTACACCCCAGCTTTTCATCTTCCGGTTCCAGGCGCTTGCTTGCCACGGTTTACAGTGCAGTTACAGCCAAGTCGAAGAACCACACAACGCACAACCAGTCCTGCAAATGGCACAGAGATGCCATCAAGAAACCTCGGTAACAAGGATATGAATCTCTAAAGGGGATAGATCCCAAGTTCCTTAGGAGCATGTGTTCTGCCAAGAAGCACAACAAGAAGGGCTTCAAGAAGATGCAGGCTAACAATGCCAAGGCCACGAGTGCATGTGCTGAAGCTATCAAGGCCCTCGGCAAGCCCAAGATCATTCCAAAGGGACTAACCCACAGGCTTGCTTGATTTGCCTATATTGCCCACCCTAAGCTTGGGAAGCGTATCCGTGCCCACATTGCCAAGGGTCGCAGGCCTTGCTAGCCAAAGGCCCAGGCTCCAGCCAAGGCCGAGGCTCCAGCTTCTGCTCCAGCCAAGGCTCTCAAAGTGCCCAGGCCCCGGTGAAGGCTCCACAACAAGAGCCTCTTATCTGCTGATGTAAAACCAGAAGGACTGGTGTGACCCCTGGGGTGCCATCTATAAGGGGCTGGTGTCCTCCTGTGCTCTTTGTAAAATAAACCTGAGGCAAGAAAAAATAACTCGTACACCCCACTGTGAAAATCAGTGTTGAGATTCCTCAAAAAGTGAAACTGGGAGTTGCATTTGACCCAAGTAGTCTGCCTTGTAGGCACCTTTCCGAAAGAGGCGAAGACGTCATACTACAGTGATCCATGCATACTCGTGTTGATAGGAGCTCAATTAGTAATGCCTACATCTTGGAAGCAGCCTTGTGTCCATCAACAGATGAATGATAAAGAAAACGTGGTCAAGGAGATTATGGGGCCAAAGAGGAAAGTGATCGATGATGGAGAGTGTGCCTAAGGAGAGTCACATGGGGAGAAGACACTCTCAGGCTTTCACAGAGAGCACATTGGCCAAGCAGTGGCTGTGACTCATCCACATGGCTGACACTGACAAAGGATCTACAATCTGAGGTACAGGATCTCAGGATAAATCCTGAGGGGATTTCACTGACCTTCTCAGACCAAAAAGCTACAACTCTTGTTGCACAGGTCCTGCTTTACCTTGGTCTTAACCATCCAGCAGAAAAGTATAAAAACGAAGTATAAGAAGTAAAGCCATGCTGTTATGTTGGGCTGTAGGGGACTCAGGTCAACAATTTCTGACATTGCCAGTGAAACAGAAGACCCAATACTATTATGGACTACTGAACCCTTTTAGAATATTTTGCTGAGTTTACACACCTATAATATTCAAATAATAGAACTTAACAAAAAGGGTATACAGATGAATGTCCATTTTGTATCTGTGTATTCAAAATGGTTAGGATAGATATATAGTTACATTCTCTTAATGAATAGAGGGATTTGTTCTAATGGTGTTTGTATATAGGATATCATGTCCGCATCTTGTACAGCAAATAACCACTAGGAAGAATGTATGCAGCATGTTTTTTATTGAAACTGTCCTACCAATTTGATTTGAAAAAAATAAAAATAAAAATAAAAATAAAGAAAGTAGGAAAAAAAAAAAGAGAGAAAGAAAATGTGGTGTTAACACGCCCCGGACTACTATTCTGTCATAGAGGAAGATAATCTTAAGCCTTCTGTTGGAAAATGGATACACTCTGAGAGCATCTAATCTGAAGTACATCAGACCCACCAGCATAAATACCGGGTAATTCCTCTGATGGTAGAAACCCAAAGAATAAAGACAACACAAAAGGTGGGTAACACAAAGTAAGGAGGTAGATGCTTTTCAAAGTAGAAGGAGATCAAGAGACAGAAAGCGGAAGGATGGAGGGGAAGGAAGGAGATAAAAAAGGAATTAAGATGTGTGACCAACTCCCTACTATAAAAGTGATTGCGTGCTGCAAATACATACCAGGAAAAGATGTTCTGAAAAATAACACACTCGAGCCCTTCAGCCACAAGAAAAACCCATAAATGAGGAAACTGAGGCTCCAAGAGACTAGGGGACTTTCTAAGGGTCAACACATTTAGAAAAAGGAAGGGATGGGACTTGAGCCCAGCTCCGTCTGGATCCAGCACCTTGCCCCTCTGCCCCATGCCTGCCCAGCACCTTGGCACGCTGACTTGCACGCACTTCCTTTGCTGGCCACAGCCTGGCCCTGAGTTGCTGTCCAGCTTCGCCTCTGCTAGGGGCCCCTCTGCCCTGGCGCAGGGAGCTCTGCTTGCTGTCTCTCTGCGTCTCCTGGGAGCTCAGCGGGTGCTAGCAGGCTGCTGGGCCAGCTGCACATCCTTGTGTCACCTGCACAGCCGGCCGTGGGGTGCACACCTGTGACCCCACCACTCAGGGGGCCTGAGCCAGAGGAGCTCAATTTCAAGCCCAGATAAGCCACTTAGTGACTCAGCAAGACCCCATCTCAAAATAAAAAGTATAAAACAGGTAGGGGAAGGAGCTCAGAGCAAAGGCGTTGGGTTCAACTCTTAGATGGTCAAACACCAAAGAGCAGGAGTACATCTGCTCCCTTCCTCGTCCTTGCCAGTCTCTAACGCACAATCCAGGCTCCTCCAGTCCATGCTGAAGAAATGAGAGGACGGAGGCTGCTGCCCTGGGCTATCCCCATTCCCTTCTACGCCCTCCCACGCCTCCTCACCTGAGGCACAGAGCAGCAGCAGCAGCAGTGGCTCCCTCAGCGTCCATCCCGGTGTCCCTGTCCCCTCCATCTTTCTCTCCTCAGGGGTCCTAAGCTGCTGGAGGACACTGTCCTTTGCAGTGTGTGCCGTCTTTCCCTGCAGACTTCACAGTTTCTTTTGATTGAGAAATCTTGAGGGAAATATGACACCAGAAGACAGCTTGGGAAACACGGGCTGAAGAGAGGCTGGCTTCCTTCCTGCCTTCCTTATGTCAAGGTCCAGTTGAGAAACACTTGATGCCCCCACCCCCACCCCGCGCGCTGATCTCCCATCACCGTCACCACCGGCCTCCTGACCACTACTTCCCAAAACCCCTCACACTATTTTCCACATTAGAAATTGTATCAGTCAGCTTCCTGTTGCTGGATACATAGCCAACGCCCACAAATGACAGAAAGAAAATATTTTAAATTTTGATTCGAGCACATTAGCAGTGCATAATGGTCGCATTCTCTGGGAACCACACATCACACCTTCATTTTTCTTGCCTCCTCCTCTGTTCCCTTCCCTTCCCCTCTCTTCATCTTAAGGGAATTCTGCCCATGGCAAGCTGCTGACAGAACACTCAGGGTTGCTACCCGCGGCTGCCAGGTAGGGACCTGCATCTGCTAACACAAAGTATACTTCAAGGGGAGTAATGGACAGGGAAGGAGCTCAGGCCCCAAGAAAAGGTCGCTGTAATAATAAACTTCAAAGCAGTTCAGAATTTTATCCTGAAAGTAAATCCTTCCTCCTGGCAAACAAGAACTGAAGAAATCCATTCCGGTACCAACCACACTGAGAAGGACAATCAGGAGCTACTTCGAGAAGATGTTAATTGTTTGAGATTGAGCTACAGGACAATTACGCTTAAGGCTTTCTGAGGTCACCTTACCACAATGACTGGTTGAGAGATGGCCACAAGGGATAGTCACAGGTTAGACACAGACTCACTGAAAGTTCAAGCTCAGCCTGGGAAGGAAGAGGGAGTCCACTTTCTCCATGAGAAGTCAGGCTGGTCGGGTACGGTTTTTAGAGGAGGCTAGGTATGAAATTGCTGACATCCGGTCCAGCAAGTGCTTGATCTATACCCCATCCCACTGCCTAGGCTCAGCACAGGACTCTGGGTGATCTGTTTACCGCCCCACCCCATGCCCCAGCTGCCCATGAGGTCAGAGGTACAGCTTGGCTTGGAGGGTTGCCACAGCCTGGGGAGTACAGATGGGGGACGTCTGGAGTAGAGGCAGCATCTCACACCTTTGGGGTGCAAAGCTGGCCAGAGAAAGCAGCGACCTGGGGCACGTAGAGACTTGGAAAGTGGAAGCTGCTAAGCCGAATATATCCCTATGGTGGGCAGGCGGTTGTACTGTCCCATACATTGTGTCAACCTGAGACGTTTAGAAGTTTAATTATGTGACTCAGCAGAGAGCCAGGATTCTTACTTTGTAAACATTCTTATCCTGAGCAAGAGCTGGGCATGGACGTTGTGGGAGCTCTACACCCCTAGCCCCAAGGTAGCTTGTTTATAATACAAGGAGGGGAGAGGGGCTGACTAGAAGCCGCGGCTGCTGCCCTTCCTTTTGCTCTTCGCTGTTTTCTGCTGCCTGAACTGCTGCCTTCTGCCGTGTGCCGCCCTACCTGGGAGCCAGCCGAGTATGGACTGAAATTTCCACCAACTGTAAGCTAGATGAACCTTGCTTTCCTTCATTTTTGGGTGTCAAATATTTGTCCCAGCAACAAGAGAGGAGTAACCAAGACAACAGTGTGAGACTCAGCATAACAAACGAAATGTGAGTGTGGAGATGACTCACCCTCCTGCCTCCGTGGTGGGTGGATTACAATACTGTAGGCCTTATGCACCTTTTCAAAAGCACAGGATTTTATATATATATATTATTTTTTCTCTTTGGATTGGGAGGTGCAAATTTTTTTACTTTCTTTTGCTCTCTGGTTTTGTTTGTTTTTGTATTTTATTTATTTATTTATTTATTTATTTATAGCCTTTTTTTTTTTTTTTTTTTTTTTTTTGGTGGAACGGAGATTGAACTCAGGCCCTTGCGCTTGCCAGGGAAGTGCTTATTCTACTGAGCCATCTCCCGATCTGTGTTTTTGTATTTAATACAGAGTCTACAAGATCTCACTATTCAGATCAGACTCTTAGTGATCCTCCTGTCTTCAGCCTCCATGCTGCTGGGATTACAGGCACGCACCACCATGCCGGATCTCAGTGGTCAGCTCATTGTGCCTTGGGGCATGTGTTGCTGAGGATCAAACCCCAGTCCTTGCACTTGCCTAAGAGTTGCTTAGTCCTCTGAGCTATAAGAGGAGCTTATAAATCCTGTAATCCCAGGACTCGAGAGGCTGTCAGGAGATTCACCTCCAATTGGAGGCCAGCTTGGGCTCCAGGGAGTTCAAGGCCAGCCTAAGCTACACAGTGGGACCTTGTCTCAAAAAAAAAAAACAAAAACACACACAAATGAAAACCAAACAAAAAAACCCCAATGAAGGTGTGATTTTTTTTTTTTTTCAGAACCAGGGATTGAACTCAGGCCCTTGCATTTGCCAGGGAAGTGCTTATTCTACTGAGCTATCTCCCTGGCCCCTTTCTTTTTTAATTTTTTATAAGTTTTTGAGCAATCTCACAGGCTTATACTTGGCAATCTGAACAACTAATTTGAAGACAACATTATGCAACATAGCAACCATTGTTGAATTCCTATCATTGTGTTTAGTGAAATTCTGTACTTTTTCTAATAGGGTTTTGTTTTTTTTTTTTTTGAACTATTTTTTTGTATTCTCTTTAAAATTAAAAAAGAATAAATATATATGTTTCTCAGCAGTACATATAATTTTCTCCAAAAATTAGCCCATAAAGTCTGGTTATATAAATATAAAAGAATCAAAATTATCCCATGGATATTATCAAATCATAGCACTATAGATTAGTGGCAGAAGAAACCACAGAAATAATGCAAACAATGGAGATTAAACAATGTACTCTTGAATAATGAATAAGAGAAAAAGTACTTCCTAGATCAAAGGATAATTCCAGTACAACATGCCACAACTATGAAACACAATGAAAGAATTCCTAGGAGAGACATTTATGCCTGCTAATGATCACATCAGAAAAACAGGGAAGCCAGATAAATAACCTAATGATGTATCTCAGGAAAATAAGGAAAATCCAAATCCAAAACTGGCACAAGGAAGGAAATTATAAAGATGAGAGCAGAAATTGATGAAATTGAGACCAGAAAAATACAATGAACCAATTAGTCAAAGAGCCATTTCTTAAAAAGAAAGAGGAGGCCAGGGAGATGGTTCAGTGGAATAAGCGCTTCCCTGGCAAGCGCAAGGGCCTGAGTTCAATCCCCAATTCTGCAAAAAAAAAAAAGAATGGCTCTTATCAGGAATTCAAATACAAGGATATTGGCAGGGGAGGGGCCCTCCACATTGTTGGTGGGAAGTAAATCAGTACAGTCACTACAGAAAGTTCTTAAAAAGCTAAAAGAAAGTGAGAAACATCAAATTACAGTGATGTGTGTATACCCATGTTTACACCAGCAGAACTCATAATAATTTATAATTTGTCTCCCCAAAGCTTCATGAGTCAGAGAGGATTTCTGGAGGTGGCTGAATCTAGGGTATGTATTGATTCCTAGCGCAGTGCTAGCGTTAAGGGTGCAGGGATTAAGGGTGAGTGGGTGCTGAGCCAGTCTCCTGAGGGGATTGGCACCACCCTGATCCTGGTAGAGATACAATAGAAGGGACAGAAATAGGGTTGTCTCACCCTGTTTTGTTTCTTTTGCTGTCTCCCCTCATCATGAATACTGTCCCTCTGCCATGTGCCACCCTGTCTTAAAGCAAAGCTAATTAGAGACTAAAATCTCTACAGACTGTGAGATAAATAAACCTTTCCTGCTTTTTACTTTGGGTGTTGGATATTTTGTCTCAGCAACAACAGAAAACTATTAAAGACAAGCAAAACTTTGAAAGCAGCCTGGGTAGCTGCCAACAGGTGAATACATAAAGAAAATGAATTATTTACACACAGCTTACTGTACCATAAAGAAAAACGTGAGACATTTGTAGGAAAATGGATGCAATTTGAGACAATAAGGTAAGCAAAATAAATCTGGCACACATGTTTAAATATTTCATGATTTGTCTTATACAGGAAACTCAGATAGCTCAGTGGACTAAAGTACCTGCATAGATGGGCGCAGGGACCAGAGCTTGATCCCTGGCGTGCTGTGTCACCCCGCCCCAGATGACTGAGATTGGGCATATGGTGCAAGCCTGTAATCCCAGCACTTGCGAGGCTGAAAACAAGAGGATCACTAGGAGTCTGATCTGTGTAGTGAGACCCTGTAGTCCCTGTACTAAAATACATTAAAAAAAAAAACCCAAAGTATAATTTTTTCATTTATGTATTGGTACAGGGTCTCACTTTGCAGCTCGTACTCGTAGTGATACTGCTGTTTCCAGCCTCCCAAGTGCTGAGATTACATGCATGCACCACCATGTCCGGACTCAGCTGCCAGCTCAGTGCACCTGGGGGTGGGGCCAGAGTGACATGCGGGACCAGGGATCGAACCTGGTCCCTGAGACAAAGTATAAATAATTTAAAGATCAAAATAAAAACTAATAGGAAGTAGAGAGATAGATATTTTACAAATGAGAAGGGACAAAGAAATGCAAAGAGTGGAGAAGAAAAGAGGAAGCGATGGAGATGTGTCATGCCCCTGGCCCAGCTCCCACAAGGAGCGTAACAACTTCTGCAAACACATACAACTAAATCAAAGACTTCAAGAATCTGTTTCCCAGGAGTGGTGGCATATACCTGTAATCCCAGCACTCAGAACTGAGGCAGGAAAATCACCTTGAGTTCGAGATCAGCAGGTCAGCCTGGGCTTCACAGGGCGTTCAAGACCAGCCTGAGCTACAAAGCAAGACCCTGCCTCCAAAAACAAAACCTCCATGCAAGTCAGAGTGGAGAAGAAGCGCTCGTGAAAGAGACGACAGCTAAGGGCTGGCCAGATAGCTCAGTGGAGTAAAGCGCCTGCTTAGGCAAATGCAGGGACCAGGGTTCGATCCCCGGCATGCTGTGCTGGCCCCGCCCCTAGGGTATGCTGAGGCGGTGATTGAGACTGGGTGT